CATAGAGAGCGCTTGTCCCCCCCCCCCCCCAAAATTGGCTTCCCCCCTGTTGCTGACAGGCTGGTGGTGGACCCCGTCCTCCAGTCATGCCCTGCTGGTGCCCCCCCAAACTCGGGAGGCACCAGTTGCCCATGTCATCCACCAGATGCAAACAGACTTCACTGAGGCTACACCAGTTTGCAACAGCTGTAGATCTGGATTGGGGCTTAAGGAGTTTAACACTCTCTGGTGGCAACAAGAACAAATGGATCTGCATCACAAGTTGGATTTTAAAAGCATAAAGCATTCATGTTGCTTCAGGGACCGGAAGTTACAGATGGGAAAAAAGAAGATAACTTTGTAAGTCTATGTTTGTTGGAGTTGCCAAATGTTGCACAGGTCCCTGAGCTAAGGTGGGTAGAACTAAGGAGGGGGAACTCCCATATGCAGCATAAAAAATGGTTATGGCAATTTTTCCAAGGGTCTCCTCAATAAAACGTATTTATTTCCTGTGAAATATCAGAATAAAAAAGCAGCTGGTCAGAAAGCTGGTCTAACCAGAGCTTAGAAGTATACATTTGGAGTCTGATTATATCTTAGAAACATGGTTTCTCATGAATGAAAACTTTATCATTGTTGCAAGCGTTACCACAAATGAGAACTCTATTGCTTTTGTTACTTACATGCCAAATAATGCTAGCTGTAATCTGAGAGATTTAAGCTGCAAAGCATTTATGTGACTACAGATATGAAAAACTGAAAGCCTAATCTTACTACACCTACTGAAATCATTAGAAGCTTTAGCATCACTTCCAGTGGAAGCAGGATTAGGCTCCGTGCATTCAACATTTAATTAAAATAGCTTTCCAATATTCGAGGAAAAAAAAGTTTGAGAAATACTTACAGGCAGTAGACAAATACACAACAAGTGTATATCATTGGCAGCTCATCCAACAGCTACAAAAAGCAGAGACAAAGAAACATGGAGGTTTCAAAATTATTTTGACAGCCAGCTTCTTGATGGTATTTTGCAAATAAACTAGCAGTACTGAAATTCATTGGGAGTAATCTTGTAGAACTGATTACTACATTTTAGGAAAAAGTCAAACCTTTGAAGATCTCTGCCATTTTTCACTACTTTACATCCACCTTTAACATTTAGGGAAATTATAGGACAGTGATGCACATTTGGTAATCTGCACAAAACTTTACTGGTGTCTTCCCAGCTCTTTCAAAATACTGAACAGGGGCTGTAGCAAACTCCCAGGTTAAGACCTTAGTTTTACAAAATGAAATTACAGAACATTGATGCAGAATGAATGATGTTGTTAGGCAGCTGTGTTTGCTTTTCTTTTGCAAAATTCAGTAAATTGCAACAAGCTAAAATCAACATCTTTAGTTATGACTGTAAAATGGTGCAGTGCTTTAAATTGGCATTTCTCAACCTGTGGGTCATGACCCAAAAGTGGGTTGCAAGAATATATGAAAGAGACATGGACAAATATTAAATATGGATTCTCCTTTACAGGAGAAAACTGTGGGAAACCGTTACTTTTCTGTTGCAGGCTGGTAGAGCTTGTCTGCAAGAAGCTGCTTGGGGCCCCCCATGTCCGCCCCACAACACTATAGGGCTGGGGGCAGCGGGTCAGGAGTGAGGGGCACCGGGTCAGGACAGGCAATCAGTGTGTACAAATGGGCCCTGGAGAACCCAAAATTTTGGCTAAAGGTAAGAAAGGCCTTTTCTGCAAAATACTCTGTGGAATTAATAAGCACCCTTTGCTAGAGGGGACAAAAAACCCCATAAAAAATAGAGTGCTGTCCAGAAAGCTTGTATTGTTCGAATTTTAGCATTAACAAACAGAATCAGAACATCACTGCTTGCCTTCAGAAATCCTGCTCACCAACAAGTCCTGGCATATTTACACAAGGGAATTTGAGAGTTAACCAATTTCTCAGGGAAGGTGGCTGTAAAAATCCATGAGACTAATACATCTTGAAAGGATGGCTCGTTCAGTAACTTGGGAAATGTTCACTCTGCATAGTCACAATCAGACAACAGTTCTGACACATCTTATAGAAGCACATGCTTTTTTTTTTCGGAGGGAAATGACTTTTTCTAGAAAGCCCGAGTTGCGGGGGGGGGGGGTGGAGAAACACGAACAGGATGTGAATGGTCGGTTGGTTTGAGTCCAGGCGGGTGAATGGGACCTGCATATTTGGTTGTCCTTCCTTTCTGGAAGTTGTTGAGGCTTGCCCAGGTTGCAGCTGTATTGGTACAGTAGTTCCTGACCCCTCCCAGGTATCCCAGGGCAGGGAAACACTTATAGGGATCACAAGGCATGACTACAGCAGAAAGCAGCACCCCGTGGAGATAGCCCATTCTAGCTCTGGAGCCAGAAGCAGTGTACAGACACTACCATGACACTGCAGAAGTGCTAATAAGCTCTTCTGAAGAACTGCACAGGTGCCCCAACTACCCCAAGTACTGACCAACGTTAAAGGATACAGTTCCAAGTGTAGCAGGCAGGTTGCTTTGGTACAAAGCCAGCCCAGATCTGCTAAATTTGTACAGAAGACCACTGAGTGCACTGGCCAAGGTTAGCATTCGATTGTTAATTTTTACCTTGAAAAACAATGAAGGTCTTTTAAGGAATGGATAAGCCAATTCTCTTAAATATTCAAGTTTTCAGGCTAGGTTTCTAAATGAATAGCTTTACTTTGCCTGGATATCACTGGTTCTTTTCTGATTTTTTTGTTTCTGCTGTCAAAAAAAAAAATGGCTCTTGGTTAAGCTGGCTCTCGGTGGCGACACCTGCGCTTGCAGCAGCACCCTGTCTCCTTTCTGCTCCATGAGGCTGGAGTCCTCTGCCTCTCCACTGCAGTGCCCCAGGGTGCAAACTCCAAACAGGCATGGGTGGGGGTTAGAAATCAGAATGATACTTGGGGACAGGGCAGGGCCTAGCTTGCGGCACACCTACCAAAAAGCTTGGCCAGCACTGGTCTAAAGGCTAAATGCATGGCCTCAATGAGGACTCATCTGCTAGTAGGGGTGATTATGGATCTTTTGCAGGTTGAGATTACCTGCTAGACATTGCAGGTGCCTGTAGATGTGTGGGGAGGCTGCTCTGATGCGCTGTAATTACAGTAGAGTCTGCTGGAGTGTGGTAATTAGCAGGGATCTGGGTTTCCCGTTTCCCACGGGGAAAAAAAAACGGAGAAAACGCAGATGTTTCATTTTAACAGAGAAACAAGTGGATGTTGCCCTTTTGCAAAGAGCTCCCTGCAGGCTGGCAAAGTTGCAGACTGCAAGGGGCTGGGGGGCGGGAGGAGGGTGTCCAGGCAGCCTGGAGAATAGCTCCCACAAGTTAAGTCTGGCAGTGGCGGGGCAGGGATTGAGGCCCCCATAGGAAGGGAGGGAGTTGGGCAGGGCTGGGGGCCCAGGGCTGTAATGCGTGGCTGCAGGGCAGTGGGCTAGGGCCATGGGCAGCTCATCCAGGGGGCGAGGTGCCAGCTCCCCACTGGGGAAGCAGGGGGGGCCCATGCCCCCCAGACCTATGCCAGCCCCATCTCCGCCCAAGCCTTCAGCGGGCAGCCCACATCCCCTGCCCCCCACAGGTTCCACTCTGGCCACACCACCCGTGGAGGTGGGGGAACCGGGCTCTGCTTACTGCTACGCTGCAGCAGCTGCTGCCTCCCGCAGGTGGCAGCTGGTGCTTGGGTGCTGTACCCGGGTCCCTGGCCCCATAGTCCTGGCAGTCGGGGGCCCACTCTGGCAAGGCTGTGGGGGTAGGGGGCTGTGGCTTGGGAGCAAGGGGTCTGGGCCTGCGTTCTGTGAGTTAAGGGGGCAAGGGGAGCTCTGATTTTCCATGATAAAAAACCCCAAATCAAATATCAACATTTATAGGTATTTAGAATTTATTTTATTATAGTGATTGAGGCATTAGTAGGCTTCCAAACTGCTTTAAAACTGTATATGTATGAATAAAACGTTGTGTTCAACTGACACACACACACCCCTTTCATTTTAATTTTGGATTTTGGGGTTTTAATCAAAGAATCTGCGGTTTTTAAACAGAGAATTTGCATTTTTTTTTCAGGGAAAACCAGGATCCCTGGTAATTAATGCACTCCAGCAGCTTTGGCATCTCAGGCATCAGTGTCCCTATACTTCAAAATGGTGGCAGGGGCACTTAAGCTCATTGAGCAAGCTGTAGCTAAAGTTAAAGCACCCTCACTACCATTTTGAAGCGTGGGGACACTGATACACAAGGTGCTCTTGAAGCCCATCTAATTAAAGCATCCCCATCCCTACCCCTGGAGCATGTGTAAAAGCACCCCATGTGCTGCAGAGCTGCTGGCTGTAGAAGTGACCTAATTTGTATAAAATGTGAACCCCAGCATACCGGTTTCCATGATAGCATGCTGCACTGGGACTGATAACCTCCAACTCATCGTGATTCAGAGAATGAATTTTCTGTTTTCTCTTGCATGTAGAACAGGACAAAGTTTTTACAAGTTGGGGGGGGGGCAGGGGACGGGATGGGATGATTGTCTTAGAATCCCTTTGCCCAATAATGCACTTCTGAAGACCTGTTTTTTAATCCCAAACAGAAGAAAACAAGCCTAACAGCTGGTGCTTTCCAAAGGGTTCCCATTTCAGTGACATGTACATCCAAAAGCAGAGATTTATACTGACAAAACATGAAGTGGAATATGAAGATATAATGGACAACACAATAACTCTAGGTTAAAGGCCTTGCTACCAAACTGAAGCTATAATGAAGGTTAACAGAGCATCTTGATTAAAAATCATGCATCAGTCCCATAATGGGTAAAGTCCCCTCTTACTAGAGTAACCAGCTGATTTAGCCCACTAATTTAGAACCGTACACGTTGCTACATGTTCATCAGCTGCAATACCTAGTAAATCTACATTAGGTCTTTGTGGAAATCATATTCAATGACTCAAAAGGTAAGAACACTTACCTTGCACATAATGAAGAAAATGAAATTGGGTAAAAACAAGCTCCTACAAACACCATGTTCTGTTCACCTTGATACGAAACTTTTTGCCAGCTCAGCCAGACTTAAATGGATCATACAGAGTTGCTGGTTTGAGCCAAAGGCATCTCGGTATAAACCAACCTCTCAAAAACGTATAATACAGCACTGGAAGTGTGTAACACTGCTTAGTAACAAGTTAGATAGATTCACACGGTCAAGGCACGCTTTAGTAGAGAATTGCGGGAGACACCTGGATGAGGTTATTCACATCTACGTATTTTTACTGACCTGCATTTCATACTTCAAGGTCATGTGGAAGCACCAAGATCCCAATCCCACAGCTGAAACCAAAGCAAAAGCACAATTAATAGAAAAGCCTATGTAAAAAACAGAACTTGTTACAGTACTTTATCTTTAACAGATGAACTTCATTGACAACTGATCTTTAAGCTATCACTTAACAGGGCCAGTTTCAGGGCCACCTATCCATTTTTTTCCACTGCCTTTTAGCTGAAATTTGCTCATTAAAGATCTCATTGAATTGCTTGTAAGAGAATTATTTTCCCCAGTTTCCTTTGCCATAAAAGCGTATGGTAGCAATGAGCAATCAGAAATACAAGATTACTGTTATCTCAGGGTTTCCTCCAAATATTTGTGTACTAAGGCTGTTCAGAAAGATGAGACAGTTACTTAGCAAGGTCTTGTTGCTTAATACAACCACCCCAGACTTCTTGTTGTTTTGCTTTTTTTAACTTGTGTTGAACAAGAAGGTTTTACAAGCCAGGCTTTATGAGAAGGCAGAGCACAGGATTTGAATTCACACTTCAGAACTGAGTTCATAAATTAAAAGGAAAACTATACAAAATTAGAAATGCAAAAATATAGAACCCTTGGTTCAGACATGATACCTTTTATTAGATCAACTGAGAAAATCAGAGGCAGAATTATACAAAATTAGAGGCAGACACAGGCAGGGGCTGCAGTTTGTAGGAACACCATGGAATGATTAACAACCATCGAACAGGTCTTTTCTATTTTTAGCTTGTCACGGGTGACCTTGGCTTTATACCTCCGAAATGTATCCCCCTTTTATCTCACAACGTACTTCTGAAGTTAATTCAAACAACCACCTCTTGCCTGTGTCCAGTCCACTCCATTTTGCAAAAGTGACAGATTTCTTAGAAGCTTGGTCTGTTTAGCTTTGATTCTTTGGTTTAAAAAAAAGTCTGTCCTTTTTTGTTAAGATGTTAGAAAAGAAATTCCTTACCACTGAAAATGTTGCTTCCTTTACCTACAAGAGTAGAGATGCTAACAATGCATTGGCTAAGCTCCCATGAGGAAGTTAAATTACACCCTAAAATTTTCCATAGTTTTGTAGGCAGAATATAGACAAACAATCCAATTCAAGTGAATTAACAGATGTTGCAACTGTGCACGTACGAAAAAGCTAAACCAGGAACCTTCCTTTTCCTCCCTCCAGGGTCATTGTGGGTGGATAGACTTTGCTTGGTGCTAAATTCCCACTTAAATTAGCTCACCTGGGGGGTTCATTCATATCCCAAGGAAAGCACTTTTCCTTTTGCTCTGAATGGTTGAGTAGGGCAGTGTTATTTTATTTAAAGGCTGTCAGCCTTCACAGCCAAAGGCACAATGACTACATTTCATTGCTGGGTCAACCAATCAAGTTATATGCAACACATGTGAAAGTTTCCATGGACCCAGGAATGGAAGATCTTGGAAAAAAAATCCAACTGCTCACAGGTGGTGGGGGGAGGGAGTTGCAGCCATATGAAGCAGCTTTTTGCAGCGAGGAAAATTTGCCCTCAGCTACGAAATTTTTTACACCATTTACAATCCAGGATAATTTCTTCTCATGACAACTGTTAGTTTGCTTTTGCTTTCAGGCTCTTTGTCTTGGAGCAAGTCACATTATGAAGCCCTAGTGGGTTGTTTTTTAAAAAAAATTTATGAGCTTATTAGACAAGAGCTGCAGTGCTGTTATGCAAACTGAAGAGGAACTGTTTATTAATATGTGCATTTGCAATGCAATCATATTGTTTAACTTCCTGTACGCTTCAGGGAAATAGGACATGACTGCCTATATGAGAATATGGCAAGCAAAGGTGCTCCCCATCACTTCCAAGGCGTTCCTGACTATATTCGGAACGACAATTCAGTAATAGCTAACATTAGGCACTGCACAAACATCACAGATGCTCTCTCCTTTCATGCTGTTTTTATATGAATGACATCTATTCCCTCCTCCCTAATTTTTCAACAGGGAATTTTTTCTGACTACGCACACCCACTCTTCCAACCGTTATTGAGTTACCGAATCAAACTCATCATTATAGCCGGGCAGGCTGTGTCAGTATAGTTAAGGCAACATCAGTATTTCCTGTACCAAATGATTTTCAATTGCTAGCAGCTAATATTTTAATTTGGGCAAAAACATATTATACAAGGTTACATTGTGTTTGAATGAACAATTAGGCAGTTACTTAATTATGTTAATGTTGTTACTTTAGGTTATATTAAGGTTATAAACAAATACTAAACTCATTTTCTGCATACGTTATTAGAAACTGGCTAATTAAGCTTTTCTGAGTCTCTGTAAATCCAAAAGTGCTGTAAAAATTGTTTTGCAGATCATTAGTCCCAGGTCTGCAGTTAGCTCATAAAAATACAGTTATTTCATTTTGAAAACATTTTCTCTGTGTCCTGATGAAAAAGGGAGTTTTTCTCAGATTTTGAAAAACGATGCTGTTGGCAAGATCTTATTTAGGCTTAAAAGGCAAGTGCTGAATAAATTAATGCTGTAGGCATGATTACTATATGCACACTATTTTTGGAAGCACCCGCAAAGGGAGGTAATCATGACACCCCTTGTTGTAATCCTGCCATATTTCATAAATTAAGACAGATCAAATTCGTGCAGCGCTCGAGTTCTTCCAAAGTAAAACCCAGGAAGGTGCATGGCATGGAGCCGGTTGCTTAGTAGGTGATACTTTCCCTTCTGAGTTAGTGTTGAATCCAGATCCTGTTGTGGGAACTGTGCTAGTTACTACTTTCCAGAGGAAAGCAGAGACCCTCAGCTACTTTTTGGACATGCAATTCCATGTCCCCTTACACAAGTGAAATTAAATAAAATTCCAGCGTCTAGGATAAAAGCCAATGAACTACATTCTGTCCAGCTAAGACTACCCTTGAAATCTGTTTTAATTTGTGTAAAGCTGTTCCATTACCCACAACAGATTCCACTTTCCAGCCCAGTAGCAAACAGCATATTTTACGCATGCCCGTCATGAGAGACTTGAAGATGAATGTTTCTATGGACTATTTATGGTGGGTTTACTCTTTGGCTTTAGGAGACATTCACAGCAACTGAAAATCAGCTAAGAAGCCACTGTGATGAAGTAAAAGGAAAAAAATCCAATGATGTGCTTAGATTGTGAGCAAATAAAGTTTTTCATAATTATCATTCCTTTCCAAAATGATCTACCAAGATGGGGCAGGTCATGTCAGACCAACCTGATTGCCTTTTATGATCAGGTCACAAAGGCAATGGATGCAGGTGTTGCTGTGGACAGTCTTTCTAGACTTCAGTGAAGCCTTTGACCATCTCCCACCCCATCCTCATTAAAAAACTAGGCGACTGTGGCATTGATGCCTACACAGTCAGATGGACTGCAGATTGGCTGAAGGGTCACAGTCAGAGGGTGGTGGTGGATGGGTCATATTCGACCTGGGGGGAAGTGGGCAGTGGAGTCCCCCAGGGCTCGGTCCTTGGGCCTGCGCTGTTCAATTTCTTCATCAGCGATTTGGACGACGGGGTGAAAAGCAACCTGTTTAAATTCGCTGATGATACCAAAATTTGGGGTGAGGTGAGCATGCTAGTAGGGAGGGAAAGATTGCAGCAAGATCTGGATAGGTTACAGGGGTGGCCTAACATAAACAGGATGCGTTTCAATACTGACAAGTGCAGGGTGCTGCACTTGGGCAGTAGAAGCCAGCAGCACACTTACAAGATGGGAAACTCTCTTCTTGAGAGCAAGGAGGCAGAAAGGGATCTTGGAGTCATTACTGACTCCAAGATGAACATGGGCTGACAATGTGTGGTCACGGCTGGCAGGGCTAACCGGACCTTGTCGTGAATCCACAGGTGCATCTCTAGCAGTGCCAAGGAGGTGATCCTCCCCCTCTATGCGACGCTGGTCAGGC